TGTCGGAACTTGTTTGTGACTTTTTCATCAAGGTGCTTCCCAAGTGGGTTCTTGACCACTCGATCTTGTGGGAAGAGTTTATGATTTTGGATCCAGACACAAATCTCCCAGCCTACAAGACTTCAGAGGCCGCCTTACAAGCAGAAGTGAATCCAGAGAAGTATCATGCACATTTTGCTATGAACTTCAAGAAATTCCGTTTTTCTGCAAGAATTGTGTGGTATTTGATTGACCGTGACAGGAATCATTTAGAGAGTTTTCTTCACAACTCCAACAGTAGATTTGTGCAACATGCATGCTATCAACTTCGTGAGTATGTTCAGGCGCGTGTTGCAGTTTCTGATCCCTTGTATGAGATGATCAAGAAGGAAGAGTTTGAACGCCAATACAATTCCAAGTTTTTGGAGGCGATTTCTTGCTCTCGTGTTGTAGTTGAGCCTGTAAGTTCAGGGACGTATGAGCCATCATCGAAGCTGAACTTAAAGGTACTACAAGACATCCTGAAGGGTATCTTCAAGATCCAAGAGATGAGGAGCTTGCCAAAGAACGTGATGAAGAAGAAGAACAGGCAGCTCAAAACATCTCAAACTTGCTGGCAGATGATATGGAGCTTGATTTTGATGATGATAATGTTCCAGTATGGCGCTCCATTGTCGACAAGTATAGAGAAGGTGATCAGGTGCTACAGGGAGAAGCTGTGAAGATTACTCACCTGTTCAGGGATCAAAAGGACAATGAGAAGGCGACAGAAGCTTTCAGTTCAGAGAGGACAGATTTTTATGAGACCTCAGGACCTCTTCCAAGAACCATGGGAGAAAATCTTGTAGAGGACTTGCTCACCAAGGATGTTGCAGAACAAGCTTTTGATGCAGGTGAAGAAGTTCCTCCTTATACAAGAGTCTCCACTATCGCTGGTGGAATCTATACTGGAAGTAGGACACTTCTAGAAGATGAGGATATGGAAGAGGAAGTTCCTGAAGAAGATCCTGCAGTTGAACCTGAAAAGGAAGAAGAAATATTTGATGAGAATGCAGGTGTTTTTCCTTCAGAGGAACCAAAGATGGAAGTGGACCAGGAGGAAGCCAAGGAGGAGTCAACACCACACTTTCTGTCAAGAGAGATAGGTGAGGACTCGGCTGCATCGCACTTACCATCAGGTGAGATGGATGCTAACCTTGATGATACTCCACGTCTGCCGAAATCTAAGAAAAGCCGCCTGAATAAAATACCTGATCCTCATTTTCATGAAGAAGTTCAGGATGATGCAACCATGGAAGAGAAGAAAGAGGCGGTGGAGAAAATAAAAGAGGTCAGAGAGGATGATGGAGAGAAGAAATTGGAGGCTGAAATCCAGGAATCTTTTCCATCTGAAGTAGTTGTTGAGAAGGATACAACAAAAGTTGACAATACCTATGAGTTGCATACTTCACCTTTGAAGTTGCTTGGAGAGCTTACAGGAGATCCAGGTATTGGCCTTTATCAACAATGCTTCAGGGAAACTCACGCAAGATTGCTGAATCATGTTTGTTTCAGAAAAGGTGAGATTTCCCATCCTCATTATCAGTCAAGGATCAACGAGAATGATTTTGTTCGATCCATTCGTAATATCTGTCCAGTACCTCCACCTGATTGTTATGAACACGACTCAGAGCATGATTTGAAGAGGTTTTTCATCAATGATGACCGCATCAGTTATTTGGATGGCAAGTGTCAGGTCGATCCAAAGTCCTTTGAAAGGGCAGAGCATGCTCGAGAAGAATTGGAGGATACGAAGAAGGAACCTAAGAAGGAACTGGAATCATATGGTCCCAAGGGACCCAGTTGGGACTTTGTCACCTTCTATGAAGAGCTGTGCGGAAGGTTCCTCAAGGGAAGAATAGAAGAACCATATGGAACTAACTTATTGGCCAGCTCAGAGTCCTTGACATTTTTATCCTGGAACTATGGCAACATGGTTCGTGGTCAGAAGTACACCACACCAAGGTTTCTCCAAGGACTTGATAGTGCAATGAGGCCACGCAAACAGAGCGCCATGTCACTTCAGAATGAGCAATTTGAGAACAACCTTTTCTTCAACATGCTCTTCTTTTTACGTGCACATGTCGTGATTCTCCAGGAAGCTCATCTTCTTGTTCCTGCCAAGGAATTTATTGAGCAAAAGAATTGGACAGTTTGTTTCAATGATTGGGAGAATCTTGCAGTGATGGCTAGATTGGCGCCAGGTGGATATGTCAAGATCATTGCTGGACATGATCAAGAACTTGGTCACTGTGAACAGCGTGATGTAACTTGGGCTATCTACGAGATTTGTTTTGGAGAAACAAGGCCTCGTCAAGATTTCAAGGATGCAGACTTTGAATTTGATGACAATGGTCCTGAGGACAAGCGTGTTCCACTTACTCGAGCGAACATGCATACCATCAGAGTCTGTAATTATCATGTTGATACACACCGTGCTGTGGATGCCCACCTACTGACAGGAGAACAGACAGCATTGATGCTTTACGAGTGTTTTGTCTATGAGGTGGACATCATTTCTGGTGATGCAAATAGTTTGGCCTACAGAATGTCTGGGTACAAAAGGCAGCCAATGGCTAACTACTATTACAGCACCATGCAGCATTGGATCCGCAGGTTTTCAGAAGCTCGTGTAAAAGCAGATCCTGGTATCAAAGCACCTATTCCCAGAACATTTTACAGTTCAACTTCACAGGTCCTCAAGAAGTGTGAAGTTTACTTTGATAAACTCTGGGAAGAATATTCTACTGTTGAAAAAGAAGAATACCAAGGATCACAGCTTGGCGATACATGTTTGTCTACCATTGTTGAATGGGGTCATTCAATGAGTGAAGAGGAATATGAAAGTTCCACAGTGAGCACGAAGGAGTTCATCTGTAATTTTTCAGAGAACTTTGCTATGATTGACACGGAGGTTATGTGCTCAAGGCCCACTGACGAGGACAGTCATGGTCCAATGTTTATTTCACTCAGACCAGCTTCCTTTTCATCTGGAGACAGAAGACAGTATCGCATGGGAGCAACTCTTCATGAGGCGAAACTGCGGAGGAAGGAGAAACAGAAAGAGAATAAAAGAAAAGGAAGGCCGCCAACTTCTGATCAAGCAGCTTCATCGTCTGCAGCGGCATAATTCCTGAGTGAAGGCTGAAATTTAAATGATGGCTAGGAAGTGAAGATACTTCTGATTACAGTTGATACTTTGCTTCCAAGCTTGACTTTAAGTTGCCGGGCTGAAGTTTTAAACTTTAGCAGGTAGATATGGACAGTTTTACATAACTGATGATATCTATCACCACCGCTCTTATGAAGTGACCTCTAATGGACAACCAGTCATGGTTGATGATTAAGTCATTTCATGATTTGCAATTGTAGCGCAAGATTTTTTTGTACATACATTTGCCGGTATCTCCTTCTTGTGTTTTTGATGTGAATGTGAAAGAGAGTCCTTTTGATGCAGTTTTATTTTGTCTGTGGATGAAAGCGGTCGAGACCACGTCACGAGAAGATTATTCCTCGGACCGTACGCTCCTTGCATTTTGCAAGGCATTTTAATTAATTGCATTTGTGCGGTCTTGAGTTTTTGTTTCCTTGTTACGCGAGTGTCGTTTGATTCTTTTATAGGTCTCTGTAGAGAAAAAGCCGCTTTCCCTTTTTAGTTTGATTTAGATCAGGCCATAAAGAGCTAGTGAGCGCCGGTACATGGTATCTCCGCCTGTGAAACATACAGTCTCCAGCCGAGGTACATTATCGTTTTGATTTTGTACTTGAGGTGAGTCAGCTATTGCTCCCTCACTGTATTTAGTAGCTTTGAGATTACCTTCTCTATAGTGTGAAACACACTGGATTAGGTAAGTACATGGCACCGTAGTTTTCTTTTAAGTTGCTAGAGCTAGCTGGACTGTTTTAGCCTTGCAGTAGAAAAAGAGTGTGCGACATACGCAATCAGCTAGGAGTGGACATGAATCTTGTGCCTGCTGAAAAGTAGAGCCTACCTGTACAGGGTTCCACTCCAACAGCCGATATAGTGTGTCCATACTTGACTGCTTCAAGGCTCAAAGAGCAAGAGGATAAGACTCTGCGCATAAAAGACACTAGCGGTCTGCACCTCTACCGTGTACGCCCTAGTCACTCTTTCACCCCCCCCCCGCGGGTTCAACTCCCCCCTGGGACGCTTCCGGAACGTGCTATAGTGCTATGTTTAGGTGGCAGGTGAAGTAGGCCACTGTTTGAGTTTGGAAGGGGGGGCATGAAACATAAAATTTACGCGAGGGTTCAAGGCTTCAATGATGAGCATCACGGGAAGTCAGAAACCAGGCGTATCAGATACACGTGCCTTTGAGCTTCCTTCGGCATCTCAGTGCATATGGCTGACACTTCACTCGACAAAGATGCTCAAACAAACATACATAAACCAGGTGTATCTGATACGCCTGGTTTGTGACTTCCCGTGATGCTCATGATGCTGCGTTGCTTTTCTTCAGTCCCTCATTACATATACATGACGATCCAACAGCAGATTCAACAAGCTCACATGTTCATGACATCGACATCGATAGAAGAAACCAAACAAATCATGCAAGCAGCTTTGTTTTGCCTCTGGGACACCTCTTGGGCACCTCTTATGGCATCCACACTGGTTCAACTCCTCCGTGGAGGTTTTGGGATACAGTGCAACAGATTCAACAAGCTCACAGGTTCGTGAACACATCGGATGCATCGAACAGTGTGGCAAAGTCCAGCCACGCTTCCTTAATTATCGGGGACTTCAATTCTAAGGTTGGCTGTGTCATTGCTGTTTGTGTGTCTTACATGTTCACAACGTTTTACCTCATGAGCATTTGCCTCACTCCGCTTGATGTCCCACCAGTCCGGATGCACCCCTGCTAGCTTTCGTCACCTACCCTCGGCCTCAAGTTGCTTTGCCAAGAGTCAGTTCTGTGATGCGGGCGCTGTGCAAACCCGGCCATAGATGACTGACCGAGGCCATTGTAGCACTGGTGTTCTCCTACCTTTTTATTGCGCAGCACTGAGACGAATCAGCATGAATCAGCTGCATGTGCTTCCAGTTAGCAGGTTCGACGATGGGTGTCCGTCAGCTCAAACCCCTAAAAGAAGAGCAAGCACCTTCAACATTCTTGGGAAGATGGAAATGCAAAGCAGCAGCTCCATGTTTTATTGTTGTTTTTTTTGGGGGGGGGCGCCTTGCATAAGAGAAGAGAAACAGTTGCGCTAGTGAGTGGATGTTTTGGTACTGAGGTGGCTCTAAGCTTTTGCGCTCCTTGCCTTGTTTTGCCACCAGCTCAATCTTGAGCATGTGCCTTCAGCATATTGAAAAGCGATGAAAAGCTTGGACCAGAATATCATGTGTGAGCACCTGCACTTTTGATGGTCATTCCCCACTCCTGGCATTTGTAAGTAATTACTGTACAATGCTCTTGAATTGGAAGCCATTTCCGCGCATTGCACAGCACAAAGATGCTGTAGCCTTTATACATTCGGCAAAACGAATGGGAAACAGAGATCTAATGAATTCGCACAAACAAGACATGCAGGAAGAGTCGAAGTTTGTACGAGTCACTGTAAGTCTACCTCTCGGCAAACCCAAAACTCCCACAGCCTCTCTCTTGGACCATCTTCAAGTCTAGGCTGAGAGAGAACATACCGACCGCGTCAGTCTTTGCGATTGCAACCCTGGTTTTCGCTTGGCACTTGCAGCTTTCAACCGCAATGGCCTTGCCACCACATATTCAAGTCATTGCTTGGCGATGAACGGTCCACAGCCGCTCGGCGGCAAGCAAAACCCCTACCCGAAAATGATTGAACAAGTCAGTGTGCCGGTACTGATGTTCAATGTATGGGAGTCGCCAGTGGTGCAAGGCAGTCCGGCTACAAATTGGTTCCTGATCGAGATACAGATGCCGCGCTTTGGATGACTTGTACCATTCTTGATGTACCGGTTTGCGTCAACCGTTGACCATTTGTATTTTCTTGCAGCAGCATTGTCAGCATAAGCATCGCCACCGCTTTTGCCAAGTTCTTGTCATGCACCACTCAGGAGATTTCAAAAGACAGACGCTTGGATGCTGAAGCCAATTAGCTCGGTTCACTTCAATAAGCTACTAGTAACAAGTGCATCGCTTCTAGTAACAAATGCCTTACTACTAGTAGTAACAATGTTTGCTATTAGAAACCATATATTACATTTGAAAAAACAGTGCTTTGTTCGGCCCTTTGGCCCTTGTGCCGAGGCCCCGAGCTCCGCCCGACGCCGGAGTTTCATTTGGGCCCGGTCTCGGAGGACTTAAAGGCAGAGCCTTGGGCCATGAGCGGCGTGATGTGTTGGATGGGATTGACTCGATTTGACTTAAAAGGTTTGACACATGGCCCAACCATCCAACCATCAAACCATTTTGTGTCACCTTTTGACTTAGAAGGTTTAGCGGGTTTGACTTCACTGAAAAAGTTTGACACAACCATCCGACCATTTGTTCTCATTCATTCATCCCATGCCCAGATCCATATGGGGCATAAATTGGTGTCAATGTGTTCTTCCCCTGTGACACCCAGATGGCGACTCTTGAGCAATGAACAAGAAAACGCGGAACTGGCCGGCATCCAAAAACCATTGGAAGTGCGCTGGTTTGGCCCAGAATCGAGGAATGGCAGGAAATGACATCCGAAGAACAGGTCGTGCCTCGTCGCCACGAAGCAAGCGTGGCAATCGGTGTCCAGCACGCCGGTCTGCTTTATTTAGCTTAGTCATGTTCATGATTTAAATGTCAGTTCGACGGTTTGAGTGAGAATTCGTTTGGATGTGTGGCATGTAATTACTTGCCATCGGTTTGAGTGTCCCTTCGGCAGCATGAATGGTGAGTAGAAGGGTTCAAGTTGGTTTTTGTTATCAAGGGGGAATCAGGATGTTGCCTCATGTTGCCTCAAGAAACTGCACTGCCACGAGGCATGAAAACACAACATCTAAGTAGGGTGGTGAATCGCTATCGGAAACTCCTTGAGTGGGCGAAAGACAGGGTTTTGTAAGGGTTCTGGTTTTGATCGTAGCTGACTTGGAGATTTTGATTTGCGTGCTCCAAGAACAGATTCGCAGTTCCAAGCCTTCTATTCAATTATAACTACCGTATTCCCAAAGCTTTTGGGTACTATCGCAAGCTCTCTTGCTTCCAATTTCTCAATATCTCTGGGGGACCCCCTGATGAGAAATGTCTTGGGCGCCTGCATTCCTTCTGCAAGACAGCGAAGATACACTTTAGTAATCTTTAGTATCGATGCCCATTGTTCCTAGTAGCTTCTTGTTACTAGTAGTAAGGCCACGAGCTACTAGTAGCGTCCTTGCTCCTTTCGTAGCGATGCCCTTTGTTACTAGGTTCAGATCTTGGCTGGCAGAGCCATGCGGACCCTGAACGACCGTGCCAAGTCACTGGGCCGTGGCGGTCAGGGTGGGGCAGGCCGTAGAAGATATAAGGTATTGTCACCACTGTACCCAGCGACGTAACGGGATATCCCTTGATTTCAGTGTTTGTTGGACAAATAGAGCCAAATACAAAGATCAAAGAGAGAGAGAGGGAGAGGGAGCCCTGCCGTGCTGTGCATAGTTTGACAGCTTTGACCTGATCAAGTGATTCAGCAGCATGGACCATGGGCACAAGGGGCATGGATTTTGGCATGCAGCCAAACGCACGTGTAGTCCTGCAGTGTGTGAAGCACAGCACTTGCCATTAAAAAACATACTTTGGAATGACAACCCGCAAATTACCATGGAAATCCATGGAAGATGTTCAAAATTGTTCAAGTGTATCACCCTCAGGATGCCGGACAATACCCTATCAATACCCCTCGGAATGGTTTGATTTGTAGGAGCCTTAGGAGCCTTGTCATGTTCCCAAGTTAGACCTCAGTAGGCTCCCCAAACTGGCATGTCCAGGCTGTCCAAGCTGCTCAGCCTTCAAAGACCTCAGAAAAAAATGGTGGATTTGGGGTGTCGACGTCTTACTTTGTTCGACCTTTCCCCTTCCGGCCTCACATGAAGAGTGATAAGTGGAGCGTTAAAACATTGTGATGAGCGATAGGGGCCTGGCAACAAACGATATGATGGCAACGAACTCATGTCGCATCTCTTGGTTCTGGTAAACCTCACTATGTTTTGTCATCTCGGCACTTCACAGCGCAAGAATAGAATGACACGGTGACACAAAATGCTGGCACCTCGAGCTGTCAGCTCTGCCCAGAGACAGAGAGAGAGAGAGAGAGACACGATGCTGGCACCTTCGCTGTGACTCTTCCCGGTAGTGTTTTGAGTCATTTTGATGCTTGATGACAAGTTCTCCAGGTGTTGAAGCCTCAAAATGTGTCCGAGTCAATGTGCTGAGGTTGCTCATTACTGTGCAGTCACTTGGCTTTGACAGTTCTTCCTTTTTTCCAAGATGTCGTTTTCTTCTGCAGTCCAGAAATGACAGTCGAGGAGTGACTCAGTGTATGGCGCAGCTTTAGCATTGCCGCAGATTGCTCGAACTGCTGGATGGAGTCTGGAATACACCTCGCTCGCATGTCATAGCTGCCTGGCCAGCTTATCCACGGACAAGTCTTATAGATAGGAAGTGAAGACCTAGCGCAGGAGGGCTTAAAGCTCACAGGCCTCTTTCCTGCGTGGCAGGCATGATGTTCTTGCTGACCAACTTGGTACTACAGGGCTTTTTGCTCTACATGCTCAGTGTAGAAGAACGAACACTGGAATCTTGGCTTTTTGGGGGCATGCCGATCGCTCTTTTGTGTGGAGTGTGGACCGTCACCAAACTTGAACTCAAGGCCAAATTTGGTGGACAGATGCATCTTTGCGACTTTGGCGCCGCGGATTTAGCCATACTTCCAAGCATGCTAGCTATGCGTAATCACTTCCAATCAGAAGCATCACCAGAGCTCCACAACTGGTCAATTGGCACAAGTATTGCTTCAATGTCCTCGTTTTGGTGCAGCTTGCATCTTCCTGGTACTACTGTATTGCATGCTGGCCTCGCAGATCCCAAGGCGCTCAAAGTAACAGTTGCCCAGATGCTCCAAACTGCATTGGTCCAGCGGGGACTGTGTATTCCCCAGAGTCTTGGCAGAAGCTAAAGTGTTAGTTTGTGCAGGTGGATTTGGCTCCGGCCATTGTGTAGAAGACCGGCTGATGGAACAATGCGCAATGATGCGTGATGTATCGTGTTGATGATTGTTGACGTCGGCTTTCTGTGCGTCATGCGCGCAGCAGGTGTGAGTTTTGTTTCGTGTCAAGGCAGCATGCTTCTCAGGCAAGGATGTACAACTGGGGAGTGTGGACCACGCGGATTTTTGTGCGGGATTCGTTCAAGACTCTCTTCCCTGAATCTTGGAAGCAGGTTTACTGGAAGCCCTGCCTGAATCAAGTCTTTGGAAATGCCTTTGGACTGCCAAAACTTGTGCCCTGCGTTGATGCAAGGACCGAGTGGACGAAATTGAGGCCCGATGTAAAAAGGATGTAACCAAACATAGGTCACAATATGGGAGATTGTAGCAGGAGCATGCAGGTCATAGATACCTCAGACATCGAGCACAAGGATTGCACTCTATGTTTCTCTTCGAACAGTTTTTCGTCGGGAGTTTAGAGAGCGCGCAAAAATTCGCTGTGGCTGCTCACGAGTTCCGTGTCAAAGATTGACGGACATTCCATGGGTTGAAGCAGGCACAGATTGATCCTGGAGAGTATGGGCTTGAAAGTCACCCAGCTGATATTCTTGAGAATTGGCAAGGTCTACATTTGGACAAGATTTTGTCAAGACCACGTCCAAATAGCCCTGGCACCAAGGCTACTACCTTCGGATTGTTTGCTGCTTTCTGTACGTCATTGGCCTTTGGCCTGATTTAGCAGGGTCCTGGGAATCTTGGCGAATACAGTCGACCGCAGCATTTCAAACATGCAATCTGAGTCTCTGGGAAGGACGAAGGGTTGAAGGCACTCAAGGACGGTGGGCTTGGCAATTTCAGATGAGCTACTCTGGACCTCTTTTGGAGTCATCATCCCGATGAGGCTTGCCTGCATTCAGAAGTTGAGAGGGGCAGAGGATGGCAGAATTGAACATATATATATATAATATATTATAAGCCCACCCAAATCTTCAAACAACATAAACGGTAAAGTGTCATTTGAGCATGTGCCTTGGCCCTTCGGTGAATTGTCATGTGTGGCACTTGGCTCAGTTAAAACTTGCAATGAATGGATGCAACATGCCAGTGCATATCAGCGCGCGTAAGGGATGGCAAT